ATCCATACCACATCCCAGACCATGTTTAAGGGATCATTAATGTGTACTTCATTGGCATTCAACTGCGGTTTGCTGTGGGTGAAATGTCAACACCATGGCAGAAGCTCGAGAAAGAAATAGTAACTGACTGTACTATTTAAGTTGTGTTATTTGTGATGGGGATGAACTTGATAACCAATGCAGCAAAGAGGGAAACCAGAGGACTAAAGATAGGCTCAGCTAGGGATATACCTTCTTTCTTAAAGAGGTTTCATAGATGACCTGACCATAACTACAACGACACACTGACTCGTTGGGTTCTTTCAGCGTCGGATGAGACAGTGACATGGGCACGAATAAAGTTCAAACCAAAAAAGTCGAGGAGCCTGGTAATCAAGAAGGGGAAGGTCACGCAAAGATTCAACCTCCAGGTACAGGGAGAAGACATACCATTCAAAGTAGAGAAGACAAAAAGTGCCAGGGTAAGGGTATGATGCCAGCCTGGATGACACAGGCAGCATCAGCCGCATCAATAACCAACTCCAAGAAGATCTGAAGCAAATAGATCAGACAAATATCTCTGGCAAATTTAAGGCATGTAATGTTGCCAAGATGTGGCCCTTCATGTTATATGATATAGTAATCTATAATGTTGAAGGCCCTGGAAGAACCATCAACATATGCCTTCGTAGATGGCTTGTTGTCCCACCTAGTTTCACCAGTATTTCGACTCTATGGAAGAACCAATCAGTTACATCTCCCAATATCCTCAGTTGTGGAAGAGTGCAAGGCTGCAAAGGCAAGATTGGTGGTGACCTTAAAAGAATCATCAAACGACATGATCCAGAGAGCAGGTATAGATACACGCACACGAAGAAAATGGTCAGTAAGCCAGGCAGTGTCCGAAGCAGAAAGCAGACTGAGGCACATATACATTGTCGGGACAACGACGGAAGGAAGACAAGAACTTGGTATGTCTAAACCACAAGGCTGGGGTTTGGCAAGTCCAATGAGACAAGAGCCAGCCAGATGATACAGAAAGATATAAGGGAAACTAATAGAGAACAGACGAGCTCTATCAGTCGAAATGGGAGGACAATGTGCATGGAACCAGTGTACCACAACAGAGCGGAAGCTGACTTGGGCAGACATTTGGCAGTACGAGCCACTCCGACTCAAAGTTCTTTTGAGGCCAGTTTATGATCTGCTGCCGTCACAGATGGAGTTTAGTGGATGATCCAAGATGCCAACTCTGTGACAAGCCAGGTACCATGGACCATGTCCTGTCATCGTGCCAGACTTCACTAACACAGGGCCGTTGCAGATGGAGGCATGATAAGTCCTTAGGGAGTTAGCAGTCACACTGGAACGTGAGAAAAGGAAGAAAAGAACTTGAAAGAAGAGAGCACCCACTATGATTAACTTCGTCAAGGCAGGAGAGACAAGCATGAAGCCAGCTTCAATCACCACATCGATCCTAGACGAGTCCGACCAGTGGGATATTATACATTACATAAAAATTATATTAGAAATAGGATATAGCTTATATTGGAACATATATGTATATGTTATACGTTAATACTGTACTGAAAATATTACTTTTTTATTTAACTGATCGCTTGAAAAAATGATAAACCCCTTAATACTACACAAAGAATATTGTTTTAAAACGTTTGAGTCAAACGTACACACAAACACCTCCTTTAAATATAAATAAAATGCATCGGTACAAAATATATACTAAAAAAAAAGAATAACAGCTTATATAGTTTAAAGCAAAGCACTAACGAAACTGCGTCTATTCAATAAACCAATAACCGAATTGTCCTTTAAATGGGTCGCTAACCTTGAAGTAGAGTGTTTTGTTTATTTAACGGTGATAAACAATTCCCCTTATCTTGCGCGTTTCCAGGCCACTGTATAGTGTTTGAGGAATTTGACCCAATATATCACGTATGCCTTTGTCATCAAATGATTAAATGCGTAAAGATAATATTTCGTCGAGAAATCAGCCAAAATCAACAAGATGAAAAAAACAACAGGGAAGCATTATGTACAAAGTACTATGTTATTATAGTTTCAAGCAGCATTTATACATGCACATATAAGAGCTGAATAAAACGGTTTAAAAACACACAAGAGAAAAGAAAGAAAAATCATGACTAACCGTTTCAAATGACTATAATATGTAATAGGTTACGCATAATTTATACATATTTTTAACATGATATGTTGTTGCAAGTTATCGAAAGAAATCAAAATCTGATACAACGTTATCATTGAACAGCATATTGAAGTGAAATCTCGCTAGATAAAGATACCCTTTTCAACTTCATATCCTGACATTAACTTACAGGACTGCAGAAATTGTTACCTCACTAATTATTAATAATTCAAGGTTCGAATACAGCTTTATCACAACCTAGTTCGTAGGTCGTCTTAAAGCGATTCACAAATTATTATCCGTGGTTATAGGGCCTTTGCAACCAGCCAATACCTTTCTCAACTCCATGGGGAGGATACAGCCGGTGCTGCCATTTCGACGCTCATACCAGCATTCTACAATTCTAACACTGCCCAATCACGTACTCATTTACAGCTGAGTAGACTGGAAAAAGCGGAGTAAGTATCTTGCTCAAAGATACAACACAGTGCCGTGCCGTGCCGTGCCGTGACGCGAACCCGGAACCCTTCGGTCACTACCCCGTTGTCCCATCACTATACTACCGTGTCTCCTAACAAGCATTGTAACAAACGTGATGGCTTTGATTCAGCTATCCTTCATATTTTTTCTTCAGCAGCAAAATTCCGGCCTTCTGCTAATGGATATCGATAATATTTTTGGATTACATTTTATTTCACGGCCAGTAACTTTCCAGCTGTACCATTTATACATCCACTGCTTATGAAGTTGACATACCAGATATTCTTTGTTCCAACTTTGATTAGGTTTAGTATCAGCATTTTCTTGAAACAAATGCCATATAACCTTCATAAGCAACAGAGACTAGAATTTCACAAATAATGAAAGAAAACCTTAATATGATCTTAAATTCAAAGTTGATACGGTTGTCCAAAAAATTGAAAGTGAGCACTTCAAATCTGAACCTCCACTCATGTTATGAAGACACATTTAATACCACTGAGAACAAAATAAAACGGCAAAGGAATTCAAGAGACACCGGAACAAGAAGACCTCAAATACAACTGGTCAATGACCATGGGTAATAATTTGTGGACCGCTTTTAAACGACCTGCTGTGATAAAGCGGTATACAAGAACCTCAAATTATTTTCATGATTATGATTTATTCAATACTTACCTGTACATAACATATATGATTTTGAATGAACTCTCCCCACCCAAAAACAAACAAAAAACTCTTTATTTTAGCATTATTCTAGTACTGTGTTACAGTATTTTGTCCTTGATGTAACCCCGTTATAATCTGAAGAATTGGATTTGTGATTCAGCACCGGTGACAGGTTTACATAAATATTATTGCTAAAGTGAGCTGTTGAACACACAGGGACTATGTCGGTCTTATCTCTAGTTGTGTACCCTTTCTCCTTTGCTATTGTAAAACCTATCTAATACTTATTGATAGTGTTGTTTATCTTTTAATTACACCCATGACGATGTAGCAATGTGATGTCAATTTTAAATATTTTATTGCCAATTTAGATAACATGGGACAACGCCAAAGCAGCACTTAGGGACCATTTACATCAATTTTCAGTACATGTATTTGCAGCTTATACATATTATCAAAAGTTGAAATTTTAAAACAGCAAAAGAAATCTTCAAAGCTGTTTTCTTGTTTTTGTTGTATTAATAAATGATTTTCCTTTAAATCACTGAAATAGGAAAGAAAGAAAAAAAACTAGTATTTTTCATAACTTACACACGACTCAAAACAAAAATGATTTCGTCAGCTATCTCAGTTTGCAGTCATCAATCCCCTTTCAATATAAATCTCAAGTATACTTCAATCTTCAATGCTAATATATCATTATTTCATAAAGATTCTATGTAAAAAATAATTATCATAGAAAGTTGTAGATAGATTGAATCTGTCTATATGCACTGAAATAAGGATATTTAGCACAAAGAAAAAACATCACAAAACAAAAAAAATAAAAAACAAAATACGAGGATACGTACGCACGAGTAAGTAAAACTATTGTTTGGTTTAAAGTGACGTACTACCTACGTTTCATTCCTATGACAAAAAGTATGCATTTTTCTATTAATATTGTCTTTTGTTTTATCAAGATATTTGTGATCAAACACATTTATCAAACATACATGATTTCAGAAGGTTTTGAAAACAAACGTAAATCTTATATTTATGGATAATAATTCCTCTTCTATCGGTATCTTCTTAAATTTATATTGTTTAATTATTTTGCTTTTGTTTTCAGTCGACGTATTTACGAGTATTTGAAATGAAGAAATAATGCTTATATCTATTGTATAAAAAATAAAAGTGTATGAATAGAAATTAGAATTGGTAATGATGGTCGATTCCTTCCGATTGAAAAAGAAAATATATTTCTCGATCTATTTAACAGTATGGTCAAACCTGCTCAAGAGACCAACTCGATAATAGATCAACTGTATTTAAAGACTATTGAAAAATCACCATCGCTGCGAATTTTCATTTTGTTTGAACCAGTATCAAGAGACAACCTAAACTCTATATATATTTATGGACTTCCCAAAGATGGTCGCTGAAAACGGGTTTGGCAATATACTCTAACATTGGGTCTAAATAAGTATTTCTAGACAACCCGACATAGGTGGCACTCAATGGCTGTTAAAACGAGTACCAGACGTTTCCAGACAGTGAAGGTATAGATAAGGGCTCATCAGAGGTGACAGAGCACCACATAAGAGCCGAGTGGCGCATCTGTTGAGATATGGGCTGATATTTTATGAAGACTCTGCAGAACTCACTTGCCAATCAACACGTTATACATACCTCTGTTACGTGGGATTTAGTTTAAATACAACGAGGTCAGCTTTTCCCTGGTCATCCAGAGGGAATACCTCACAGGTAAGGCGTCTTGATTGTCAGGTATCCTCATACTGACTAAAACACTTTTAAATATTTCCTTTTCATTTGTTCAATATTTTATTTTCTATAGTGATACATTTTTCTTTTATTTAACCAAATAAACTCATTGATATTTTTTGTGTATATTGACAAGTATGTTAAAAATATTTATTATTCATTTGTTTCAGATAAAATGCTTTGGGCCGGTTTAATAACCCTATTGCTGGGGCTAGCTGCGGCTAAAGAGTAAGTACACAATTCCTTTTTTTTCATTTTTTATTTATTAATTCGGAAATGAATATTTTAATATTTTATGATAGAACAAATAGATAACAATTCTGTCAGCGCATGTTTTGGTATTGTCTTATTAAAGTAACTTATTTACAAAACAGTTAATCATATAAGCAGTTAATCAGGTCTAAAATGTTTAAGCTGCAATAACATTGCATAAAGATAGCTACTTCGGAATTGATGAACTCTTTTCTAATCATCTGGCAGAAGGTTTTATCTTTAATTTTGTTAAATATCAATATAAAAACTGTGTGATATTACAAATGAGAGTTCTAATTAATTTATTGGGACATGGAGCAATTTAATTTCTTAACAAAACGAGGAAATCAAATCATTTATTTCCATATGGTGCGTTTTTGGCTGTTCTTAGATCAACAGCATATACGATTTAAAAATAGATAGTTTAAATAGTTTTAATCGGCGTAAATTAATCTTCTGAACATCTCGTCCAGTCTTCATCTTTGGGAGTAAGTGACAGGGAGATTTAAGGCGTAATGAACTATTTCACACCAAGAGAAATTAAGTCGGGAATTACTCCATGATTAAAACATACCGTAGTTGTAAAGAAGATGAATCATTTACCTACACTGATTTATCTATATATAAAAACAAACAGTTACTGAATAGTCTTAGATGGGATATGTTTCACCAATCCAGTAAGCAGTAGTCACTTGATAAATGGAGTTGTCGACTCTATAAAATATGTCTAGCTAGAATGATATTGAATTCCGTTTGATCCTCGGTCTAGATTAGTATTATTAGACATTGTCTTTATGAAATTGGATCAATAAAATCAACTACCTTGTAGTCATACAAAACTTACATGCCGTTATCTAGTACAAGATACATTGCCAATGTGCACATAAGTGTGCACAAGTATATTTCTTGTTATAAAAAACATACAATTCTAAAAATGGTATTCTAATTATATGTGTTACCATCATGTCGATATACACAGAATTATCTGTAGATATAAAAACGTAAAAGGGTATATATTCTTAGCATCTTGTACACATGTACTCAATTTAATGATTTTATTATGGTTATAACAAATAATCTTAGCATTTCACTATGTACTATTTCTGGCTATAAAATACAATGATATATTTAATCATCTTTTCGAGTTGTACATTATCGTGTGTTGTTCTTTATGAATACATCATATCTTTATTCAGCTGAATAATACGGGAGTCGAGATAAACTGCACAGATTTATGTCTTGGAAAACAATTGAATGATTTATTAAATTATGTTAATAGCCTTATCGTATCGATAGAATATACATTTTTGATTCTGGTTTAATAAAAGGAAGAAGGTAATTTCTATACTGTCGTAATTCAATCCTTTTTGTAAAAAATAACCTGAAGGTTCATTTGATTTGTCTAGATACACGCTACCCTATCTTTTCTCTATTCCCCTTTCTAGTTTTACTGCTGTTTGAGATTACTTAATGTCAGTTTCATTTTACATTTTTATATGGAGAAATCAAATTAAATTAATTGTGCAAAGAAATATGATTTACAAACATGCAAATGATACAACAGAATTCTACCACTATTGCACTTCTAAATGATTCGATCTTAAAAATTGGGCAAATGTTCTTGTTTTCTTTATTCTGTATCCTTACACAGTGGAAGGCTGATTTCAATACTGGACGAATGTGTTTTAGAAAATTAAAGAATTAATATTTATTGAGGCAAAAACATTACATTTAATTTTGTCACATATCACAAGTCAAATGTGTAATGCAATGTCTATAATTAAGGGGGATAACTCTAACAAACCATTTGTTAATCGATTGTTAATATAGATGTAATAAATGTTAACATCATGAAAAATAAAAACATAATGAAATAAAAGTATCTTTATCTTTTAGCACTTATGTCGTTATTACGCCTAAAGACGTCCGCCCGGGAGTGCCCCTGAACATCAGTGTCAATATTCTACACGCGACTGGCGATGTGCACGTCACAGCTAAACTCATCCATGTGACCGACAAATCGGTGAAAGCCTCTTCGTCTGCAACTTTCCAACAACGTATGTAGCCATCATATTTCTGTCTGCGTGTATATATAGATATATATCTAAATGCAGATATTTTACACCAAGTTGACAGCTTCTATCAGTTGAAAAATACAAATGGCTCAAAGACAATTTTGAGAATTGGTTTCCGATATTTTTGCAAGTCTGTTTTCTGATTAGAATAGTTCATTGCTTAGTTGAGTTGCAGTCTCGAAATTTAATTTCCTATACGATTTAAAGTATGTTTTGATTAACAATTCGGGAAGGACGTTTTCAGAGACTGAAACCATTTTCCTAACCAGTAGACTGATACTATCATTAATATATCACAACTACATTTATTTGTGTCAGTTTGTTTTGATTAACAATTCGGGAAGTCCTTTTTTCGGAGACTGAAACCCTTTTCCTGAGCAGTATACTGTTATTATCATAAATATATCAAAACTACATTTATTTGTGTCATATGAAAAGTAATGAATTCAATTAAGAAATAAGCGATTGTTTTCATTTACCCTGTATGTCCATGCATCAAAAATAAAAGAAACATGTAAATGATTTTCAGATGTCCCTGACACCATGCGAATTATGGTAAGCATTCTTTTCACTTGATATTAGAAAATAAACCATTTATTGTGTGAAGAATTTGTCGAAAGTTTTCCTTTTGTTTGTCCGAGAGAAAAAAAGATACATTTTATAGTGGACAATTCTTCAATAAGATGAACTATCATCTATTGTTAAGACCAAGCACTATGGCTTGTGAATTCAATATCAACTTTTATGATGTTGATAAACCCTGTTTTGTATCACTATTCTAGGTCCCAGATACGATTCCAAGCGGGACGTACCAGCTTACAGTTGAAGGTTCCAATGGTCTCACTTTCACAGACAAAACAAATCTTCATTACGCTTCCAAGGGCATGTCTATCTTTATACAGACGGATAAAGCCATGTACAAACCTGGCCAAACAGGTAAGCTTGCCGAGTTGTTTTTAACTTTATGGTATGGAAGGACTGTATGTATAGCACACTGACACGTTACAGAGACGAGCTATTTGCCAACCACTGTGAATAAAAAGCAAAAATCATTACAACCACAACGTTTTCAAGACTTTGAACCACATCTTAAAAACAAAACCAACTTAAAACAAACCATGACTCTGTTCCTGTTTATTCCGTCTTTGCGTATTGCAGAGTTATCTTCTCTTGGGAGCAGGTATTGATTGTTACGTCATTGGTTTGTGCGAGAAAATTACGTCGTTTTCTCAAAAATTGATGACGTTACTCTCACAAACAAGTGACGTAACAATCAATACCTGCTCCCAAGAGAAGATAACTCTGCAATACGCAAAGACGGAAT